CGGGCCCGCCTTCGGGCGCCCAAGCAGGCTGCGGAGGAGGCCGGTCCGGGCCCGCGTGCTCCAGGCCGGGCTTTGTGCACGCCGCCGCCCCCTCCCAGAGCGGACCGGGCGCGCGGCGAGCAGGCGGCTGTCATTGCTGGTGCCCGTCGCTGGTCGCTCCGCGCGTCCTGCGGTGCCCAGGCCCGGCCGGCGCCCCCGTCCCGCCGCCCGGGGCGACGCCGCGCCCCCTCCCCCGCGGAGCTTCGCGCCGCCCGCCAGCCCTCCGAGCCCGAGCCCCCCGCGGCCACTGCGGGGACCGCGTCCCGCGTCGCGTCTGCCGAGCCCCAGCCGATGGGGCCGCGCGCGCCCCGGAGCGGCGCCGGCGGGCGGCAGGGGCCTGCAGAGGCGCCCCGGCGACCGCTCTGAGCTTTGGCGCCGCTGTCGCCGCCGCGGGGGCTGGGCAGTCGCCTGGGCGTACACGTGCCGCCCCCGTCGGGGCTGCGGGGACGAGCGGGACATGCCGGCGGCCGCCTCGGGGGGCTCCGCCTCGCCCCCGCTCCCGGGGCTCTGACGCCGCCCCGCCCGCGCCCGCCGCTCTCCTCCGGCCGGGTCTCAGGCCACTGCTGCCGAGAGGGGGCCGCCTTCGGGGCCGAGCGAGCCGCTGCTCTTTACATTTGTAAAAAATTTTTGGTTGGTGGCGGCGGTGCTGGTTCCAAGCGAGGAGGGACACGGAGGCTGCCCCCGCCCTCCCCGCACGCCCTGCTCCGCGCTCCGGCTCCGGGAGATGTGCCGGGCGGGGAGCCCGGGCCCGCGGAGCCGCCGGAGACACGCGCAGGGCCGACCCCGGAGCGCGCAGGACAGGTGAGTGGCCGGGCCGGCGAGGGCGCGCACCTGGGCCAGGTGTGCAGGGCGGAGGAGGGGAGGCCGGGGTGCGCGCGGGACCCGCACCTGAGCTCTGGGCGTCGGGGGCGGGCGCACCCCACCCTCCGCTGCGAGGTGCCTGCGCGTGGCTGCTGCGTGTGCCCGCGCGCGCGCCGGCCTTTGTGGGGATCGGCGCGGCGGTGCCTGCGTGTCCCCGGTGCGTGTGCGCGCGGGTGCTTGGCGCCCTGTTTGTGTAGGTGTCTGGGTGGGAGCTGAGCGGTGCGTGTACGCGCCGCGCGCGCGCGCGGGGCCCCGGCCCCACGGAGGAGCAGTGTCGGGGGGCTGGCACCCGCGCGAGGCTGCGTTGGGAGCTGTTTTCTCCTGGAAGCAGCGGCGCGAGGGATGGGGAGGGGGCTGTCTGGGTGTCGGGGAGGGGCGCCCCGCCGGCTGAAAGGGTTTCGGCTGGGCGGCAGCCTCTGCAAGAGGTGCCCAGCTTGGCGCGAGCTGCTGTTAGGTCCGATCCGCTGGGATCTTGGCTGGGAGGGCAAGCCCTCCGTCTTCCCCCAGGTGTGCGTTCAGTGGGTTCAGCTGTCATCGTGCCATTTGAGGGTCCTGGGACAGAAGTCCAGGCCTGAAATGTGTGTGTTGGGGGGTTGTAGTGTGTGCTCAGTCACAGCCAGAAAATGCCCTCTGAAGGCATCGTCCCGGTGCGCCCTGGCACCCATCAGGAACGGCGCCCCGCACGCACGCACGCAGCCCCCCAGACGCACATCCGAGTCCCCACTCCCCAGTCTAGGTCAGTCCACAGCCATCCCCTCCTGGCATCACACTCTGTCTCCAGCTCCCTTCCCCCAGGCTCTCTTCTCCCCTGGGCACCCCCAGCCTTGGCACCAAGTGGGCGTCCCTGCCCCCCCCCCCCTGCTCGAGGCAGAGCCCCTTCTCGGGGACCGTGCGGGTCCTTGCCCACAGCAGACATGTGGTGGCTGGGGGACGGGGGAGGGGCTCAAGATGGCCGCCAAGATGGCTGGGCCTGGCTTTCTCTGTCTGCCTCCCCTCTCCCTGCCCACCCTGCTGCCGTGGTGCGTTGGATCACCGAGACAGGGAATTGCATGGGGTGGGGACAGGTGTGGGGACATCTGAGAGCGATGTCTGTTTGGGTATGGTGACTTCCAGCACGGCTTGCAGTGAGGCTGCTGGTCTCTGCTGCTCTCCTTAGCACCCAAGGGCACAGGCAGAGTCTAACCCGTCTCTAGACCCAGCTCCTCACCCCAGGCCGCAGCCTGGGGGCCCCCTGGCCTCCACCTGCTCTCCAGGGCCTGGTGCTCCAGTGGGTTCTTAAAGTGTCGGGGTGCTCTTCGGAGGGTCCACATCTCTCGACTGCTTCTCCATCTGTCCCACAGCCAGGGACTAGGTAAACCTTGGAGACCTGGGTCAGGTGCCAGCTTTGGGGTTGGTGGTGGTGGGTGGGGGCAGGTGACATCTCTTTCCTTCCCACTAATGCTGAATTTATTACTTAAAAGTAGGATGAAAACAGGGAGAATAAGAGAAGGAATACAACCTTCATTATCATATCGAGAAAATTATCCGTGATTTTCCTAACTAGCAATTTGCCTGCCATGCCGTTCAGAACTGACTTGCCCATTAATTACAGAGATGAAAAATCATCTGCAAAGCGGAAAAAGGAACTAATTCCATGGCGGCGTTAGCACCGTGCACCAAGCCACATACGTGTGTGTGCGCGCGCGCGCGCGTGCATGTTCACGTGAGAATGCTGCCTCTCCATCTGCCCCCCCCCCCCACTCTGGGCCTGTCCTGTCTCCCTCCACAGGGCACCTGGCCCACTCTTGAGGTCTGATGTACCTAGAGTACCCCAGGATCACCCTGCTGCTGCTGCCCTTGAGTGTGGGCAGGGTGGGGAGCTGGAGACTAGAACGCCTGGGCTTTTGAGCCAGCAGGGAGGAGGGAGAAGGCGGGAGACTCGAAGCCAGGCTTCTATTCCCAGCCTGCCCAGGGGATCCCCACTCCTGGGTGACCCAGAGGGATCCAGAGGGCATGCAAGGGAGGGGCCTGGCTGAGTCTGTTTGCATCCAGTGGCTGGGCTCCTGGCCGAAGGCTGCTCCACCTGTGAGCTGGCTGCATCTCCCATTTCGGGCAACTACATCCTCTGTGCCCCAACAGGCTGCAGGAGAGCCAGTGGCTCTTCATCCCCAGGATGCATCTGGCTGGAACTGTACCCTAGAAAGGAACAGAAGGAGCAGGAGCCCCATCCAGTCCCTACCACTGACACAGGACTGGGAGCTCCCAGTGTCTTGCCCTGCTGCCACCCCAGCCAGACGTGTGACCAAGGACAAGGGAGGCTCCAGTTTCTGTGTGGGCTCTGCTTGGGGATCCGGTTTCCAGATGCCAGACACAGCCCCTCCTCCAGCCCTTCAGAGGGCAGCAGGGAGGCCAGGGGAGGACCAAGGTGGGGTTCCCTGGTGACCCTGGAGGTATTGAGCCAGACTGGCCTCCTGTGTACTGAATACACCGTGGGGTCCTGGGGTGGGGTGGGGGCTCCATATGTCAGGCATTCTGCCATTGCAGGAGCCAGTTCTGCCTCTTCCTGTCTGTCTGCACCTGTGTGTACCTGTCCTGTGCTGGTGAGCAGCTGGCACTGGGACCCTGCCTGGCATATGTGGCCAGGTGTCCGCTGTGCCCAGGGCTCTATTCCCCTGTGGCTGGTGCTGGGGGGGGGTTGCAGAGAGGGCTGGTGTGTAGCCATAGTAGCCAGATGTGCAGCTGTGTGCATGCTGGGGGGGACAGTGGGTCTGTGCTGGCAGGTGTGCACACAGGTGTGTGCCGTGCGCACCTCTTCTTGCAGTCTGCAGACCCTTACCAGCCACCATGAAAGGGACATTGTCCACATCCTGTCACTGTGGAACTGAAAGTCTAGTAACATGTGAACCATTTCCCTCGGGAGCCCCTATTCCTGGGGCTGGGGAGAAGGCTGTGTCTCTACCTCCAGAGCTATTGAGATCCCAGCTTGGGAAGGAACCCCAGGGTGGGAATGCAGAAGCCTCTGTGACCTGGAACTAGGTCTGTCTAGAGTACTAATAGTGATTCCACCCCAGGGCCTTTGCACCAGCCATTCCTCCCACCCAGGACCTTCTGCAAGGGTTCTGCTCCTGCACACACACTCCAACCACACCTCAGCAGGGACTTTTACCCTGTGCCCCCTGCTTAGAACCAGCTTCCTGCCCGCCTGGCTTCCTTGAAGGTGCCACTTCCACACGCACTGTCACTTCCTGACGTGTTGTGCCTGTTTGTTTACTGTCTGTCTTCCTGACTCTGATCCAGGTGCTCAGGAATGTTGTCATGTTTGGCTGTCAGACAACCCCATATGCCTAAAATCCTACCAGGCGCACAGATTTCAGAGATTTCACCTGAATGAATGGGAGGGGCTCTCCAAAGGATTGACCCCCCCCCCTCGTGACTCTCCTTCCACCTGGCCTCCTCGGGACGAGCACAGGCTGCTGACCACAGCCTGGACCAGGCCAGCCATATCCCTGTCTTCCAGCATGTGCCTGTGCAGACTTGGAGGTGGCCTCCTGGTGCCCGTGGGTGCCGGCTCCCTTGAGTGGCTGCTGGGGCTTAGTCCCACCCAGGAAGGAAACCTGGATCTTCCTGCTGCTTTGTCCCTGGGCCATGGCCTCAGCCTGTGTCTCCCGGGGTTGAACTCTCACCCTTGCTTAGAGCTGGTTGTGCCCTGGTGACCCAGCCAAGCAAACCCCTGAAACTTCACCCACCTCCCACACCAAAACGGGGATGATAAAAATTCAGTAAATCAATACTGAGACTAAAAATAGCCCTGCCCCTCCCTCAGAGGCTAAAAATACCCTGGAGTCACACACAAGCAGGCCAGGAAGCCAGGGGGCTTCTCCCAGTCCCTGACATTGAGGACACCATCCTGTGTGTTGCAGAGTTCTCAATGCATTCCTGCCACCCAACAAATGTAACCCTGAAAACCCTTTCAGACCTCACAGAACATCCCCTGGTGGGGCAGACTCAACCCTGTGGTGTGGGGGTGGGCAGATTTCTGCAACACTAGGTGCTAATTTTTATGGGCTGTGAGGGCCACTTTGGGGTTGTCATGTGTTTCTTCTGTTCACAACTTTTTTCAGGGGGAGGCGGGGGTTGAGACAGGGTCTTACTATGTATCCCAGGCTGGCCTCAAACTGACAGCAATCCTCCTGCCTCAGCCTCCTGAGTACTGGGACTAAAGGTGTGTGCCACCATGCCACGTTTCACAAGTCTTTACAAATGTGAAAAGCCAGCTTGGTATGATGCTGGGCTTGGGAGCAGATGCCTTCATCCCTGCACTCTTCAGGCTGAGACAGGAGTATCACAAGTTCAAGCCCAGCCTGGACAGTTTAGCAATTTAGCAAAATTCTGTCTCAAAATAAAAAATGAAAGAAGGGCTGGTGCTGGCTGTAGAGGCACACACCTGTAATCCCCAGCACTCAGGAGGCTGAGGCAGGAGGATCACTGCATTTTCGAGGCCAACCTGACTACATAGTGAGTTCAAGGCCAGTCTGAAGTACATGGCGAGACCCTGTCTCAAGGGGGGGCGGGCTGGGATGTAGCTTAGTAGCTCCGGGTTCAGCTGAGTACTGCAAGAAAGGAAGAGAAAAAAAGAATAGAAAGCCATTTTTAGCTCATTACCAGACAAAACCAGGCAGGGACTAGGCTATAGTAGACGGCTGATCCCTGAGCACCCCCCAGTGGCCCTGTTGGGGAATGTTGGGGCCCCTTGGATTCCCATTTCGGGAGCACCCATTGAAAGCATTTGTGTACTTAGGGTGAGCCTGTCCTGTAGGCTGCTTGCTCTCCCTCTCCCCTTCTCCCTGAGCTCCTGGCTCCCTAAACACACATGGCCAGCCCCAGGGCCTTTGCATGGCATACAGCACCCTCACACACATCCATCCTCCACACACACACACACACATCCGCGCGCGCTTGGC